TTAATATGAGTAATTTACTTCAGTAACACTAATTATGATCCGCCGATCCGGTGTAATGTACTATGCATAAATATCATGAGATGCATATTTATGTGTTCGTGGAAAATCTTATGCCTAATATCATATATTGGATCATGGAATAATCTAAACAATATTGACATGCTTGCAGGATCAAAACAGACTTACATACCTGCATTACCTCCCCTAACAAGGTGTAGCAGAGACTCGAAGTTTTCCAGGCTGTGGAAGAGAGCTGCCTGTAGGGTGGGAGCAGACGGTGACTGCGAAATGTCCATCAACGAAGGAAACCATCCCCGCCCTTCAACAAGCCGCGGAACGCAGCGCCTTTACATAAGGCTGAACACATTGCATTACATCCTTTCCCACCTAAATTCCCTAGAAAAATCCCTTTCCTTGAATCCGAAGCTCGTACCTTCCCCGAAAAGGACCAGTACCTCTTCTTCTTACTTTGACAAGGCGCGCTCAACCGTCCAAATAGCTTGCCGACACGTGTCGGAAGTTGCAGCCTACCGCCTGATCTTCTTCGATTCCAACTCGGTGTTCTACGGAAGCTTATACCACAGAGGTGTCGAGAATTCTCGAATACGGCCGGCGGTAAGAACATTGAAGCAAAACCTAGCGCTATTGTGCGCGATCGTCGTAGATACGGCTCAACCAACGGCGATAAAGGAAGTGATGAAGGCTTCATTCGAGGCCTACCTAATGGTTCTCCTGGCCGGAGGGAGTTCGAGGGTGTTCAACAGATCGGACAATGAGATGATCGAGGACGACTTTGAGCACCTGAAACGGCTCTTCTATACATGCGGCGAAGGACTGATGGCGGAAGACGGTGTGGATAAGGAGGCGCAGGCGGTGGACGGGGTGGTGGCGCTAATGGGCCAATCCACTCAACAATTAGTGGAAAATTTCAGCCTTTTGGCCTGTGAAGCCAGCGGGATAGGCCTAATGGGCCCGGGTCAGAGGTTGCCCATGCCCCCAACAACAGGAAGATGGCACAGATCAGATCCAAACACCATATTAAGAGTACTTTGCTATAGGAATGACAAATTTGCCAATCTATTTCTTAAGAAGGCTTTCCAACTTCCTAAGAGGAGGGGCTAAAATACATTTAATATAAGAAAATGTTTCTTTTTGAGGGAATCTGCAGATTAGTTTGTCTCCTAATTAGGTATGACAAAATCATATTTTTAAACACTCATTTCAGTGAAATTAAAACATATTTTTGTTCAAAAAATCATATTGTATGTAAAATTCCGGGTGGTCAATAGTTTTCTAATGTAAATTATGTAATGAAGCATTGGTTATTGAGTTTGGGAGAGAAGTACATTGATCTTCACATCTTCCCTATGTGTTCATAGACATTTTCTTAGACTCCTTGTGTTTAATTATATACCCAAGTATTATTTTATGTAACTATGTGCCATGTCATAAATACTAAATTTGTTCCTATGGATGATGTGTGTTGGGATATTGGCCTGGAAGCCCAATACCCGGATTAAAGGCCCAGGATATCCAGCCCAAACAACGAGCCCACTACCCTATGATAAGTAGGCCCAGTGAGATATTCATACTGAACGAGGTTCGGGCCAAGTAAAGGCTGGCCCAGAAAACAGACGTACCGAACGGGGTTCGGGTCATACATCATACTTGGGCCAAATCAACAATGTTTTATAGGGCCCATTATCCCGTTCGGGGAACGGACAACCAGCAGGTGGCCAGGTGCAATTAATGCCAGATTGCGACATCAGCAAGTGGAGGCATGGGTGATCAAGTCGGTGGAACATCGGCCAATCAGCATAAAGCGTCTCATACTCTCCATTAGTATAAATAGAAGGTTTAATATCATTGTAAGGGTGAGCATTTTAATACTCAAGCCCTAGAATAGCCTTATTACTCTTGTTTCTTGTATTAAGCACCAATCCGACGTGCCGTTCGGGAAATTTTCTTGTAATCAAACATGTTAATTAATACAAGTGGGTTTTTGAGCATTCGATTATCCATCTTTTATATTTCTTTTACATACCGAATTATCGTCCATTTCCTGATATATCCAAAGTTTGTGTTGAGCTTTCGGATCTACGGGATTAAACCTCAACAATGTGCATGGGAAACATGAAATTTTTTAGTAACAAAAAATTGACAATTGAAATATTATTATTTTTGCCTCATACAAAAGAATATACGGGATTTCAAGGTATATCAAAGAGTGGGAAAGGTTGTATTTGTATTACAATGTTATGAATTGTTTGTGATAAGATTGTAAAATTTTAGGAATTAGATGTATCTGCTATGCGATTTCTTCACTTGCTATTTTGTTTCTTGATTGATTCTCGACTTCACAAACCATAGAATAGGTTGAGGGCGTTCGCCTTATACTTAAATGAGTTACACGATGTGAATCCAAATTCCGTAAATTTTACAAATCAAAAGTTTTATTTGACCAAGAAAAAATATAGTGTCTTTGTCTCTCACTTAACATTTAGAACATAGAAATTAGTTCAAATAGGACTAAAACTATGGCAAAAACCTAAAATAGAACTTGCTACGTTTTTATTCTAAAATAGGACCATATGAGTCCTATTGGAAACATACCTATTTTTGCATTCCATTCTTACCCTTCCATTAAATATGAATTAAAAATAGTCAAAAGCCATAATTAAATGTTTAATTTATAATAAATTCGAAAAAAATTCAAAAATTCGTAGAAATATAATTAAAAAAATTATAAAATTTTTATAAAATAAAAAATTCAAAAACTTTTTTTTAAATAATTTTTTTTAAAAAAAATTAATAAAAAATAGTAAAACTCCGTAAAAAAAATTTTAAAAAATATGGATGCCTTTCCCACTGCCTGTACTACCTCCCAGCACCACCACCTCCGGCCGATGAAAAAAATGCCATTTTCCCCAAAAAATGCCATTTTTTTCTGAAAATGCCAAAAAAGTGGCATATTTCTCTTTTCGAATGCCAGCATTTTCATTTTTTTCTGCCATAAATATGGCATTCGTAATGAACTTGACATTTTTTTTTCCCTGGTGACTGGAGGTGGTGGTGCTGAGGCGGCAGAGGTGGCGGCGATTTTTTTTTTGAGTTTTTATTTTTTTTTTATTTTTTTTAATTTTTTTAATTTTTTGAAAAAAAAAATATAATTAAATTTTTAATATCTAAATGTTTTTCTTAATTTTTTAGTATTTTTTACGAATTTTTATTATTGTTTATTATTTTATTAGGAATTAAAACATTTTAATAGCTATAAGGGTATAATTGTCCAAGGTACACATAATTAGTCATATGCAAACATAGTTTATTCTTTGGTCCTATTTGTGAAAAGTGAATGACTTTTAGTCCTATTTTGATAATTAACTCTTTAGAATATCATTTTTTGGAAGATCATTTAGAATATCCTTAACAAATTATTCATGATTTAATGCTCATCTTATGAATAGTTAGCTTTATCAATTGAAATTTATAATTGATACATTAACTTATATTGTAACAAAAGAACATTGATGAAAGTACATGATCACGTAAATGAAAAGCTACTAATGAAATGATTACTTTGACCTCATTTTTATATCATTTCCTTTATTTTATTATGATGATTTACATATTATCGTTAAGAATCCATGACCAAATCCTTGAAACTATATATGAGGGTTTTTCTTTAATATTACTAAACTAAAGCTAATTTTCAAAAAAAGTGAACACATTTATATTTGGACAGAGATGTAACTAATGCACAGTGACATTTTCGCAGCTAATCTCGCCAGTGACATACCCGCCTTCACCGGCCACAGTGACACATCTACAGTGACAACTCCGTAGTGATGACATCTCTGTCCAACCTCTAACCACAATGACATCTTCGTCGTCCGGCCGCCGCCAGCCAACGTTGCCGGTCACAGTGACAACTCCGAGGTGACATTTTCGTAGTGACAACTCCGTAGTGACACACAAATTACTCAGATCACCGCCTTTTGGACGTTACTACACCACCACCATGCCACTGCCGCATTTAACCACCACCACCCACCACCAGCCCCCCTCCGTAGCTCCCCAGCCCTCCTTCCCACCCCAGATCCCTCCTTAGCCCCCAGCCCACCCAGCTCCCAATCCATGCACCGCCCCCATCCCTAACACCATCATTGCCAACACCCTTCAGCCTCCTCTCCAACTCTCGCACCGCCAAAAATCCCAACGGCTGCCGATCTGAAACCTGTAACCCTACCCGCAACGGTCACATATCTGAAAAAACTTAGCACCTCCGCTGGAATAACCTAGCCACAAAGAAGGTGACTGAAAATCGGGGAAGAGGAAGATATAGGGTGAAGAAGACGATTGGAAATCGCAGTTGTCAATCTCGTCGTCCCTCGCCATGGCTCGCCTGTCGGACGCCGTCGCCCGGATCCATGGTTGCAGAAAGTTTCAGCTCCCAGATGGATGCAAAGAGGAACAATTCTAGATCGTCGTGAATAGGAAGAGTCGAAAGGCTTATGCAAAGGAGAGTGGAGGGGCGAACATAACGGGAAAGTTAGATTATTCACTTGTTTGTCCGAGTATAAAATAGTCATATTTTTGTCCATTCACACATTATAAGTAATATTCATGTCATTCTTTCGATATATATTGGTATAAGATCCGTGATAGCCTAAAGGTTAATTGTACACACATACCAAGATATGTTACTATTATTTTAAAAGTCCATGGACTTTATTAAGATTTATAGAATTGTGTGAGTGAACTTTCTTGATTTATATAATCATATGGACTTCATATGAATGGTAATTAATTAATTATCCAATTTAATGGAAAATAAAAGTTTAAACTAGAATCATGGTGACTAACATTATAAGTATAAACATCACAATAGATATGGTAAAAAAAACATCATAATAGATAAAGTAATATTTTTACAACAAAATGATAACAAACAACATAAGAACTCAATCAAAACAAATGTAATTTTACAAAATAGCATTGAGGTTTATTCTTCATCTACGCCCACACACTTCATATGATCTCAATAAAATCAATTCATTTGATCACATTTAGACATCAAACAAGGTGTAAAATACATTATGTATGTAACTAACGGGTGACAAGGATTTGAGAACGAAGTAGATAAAAATATCATATATTATCAAAAGTTGATGGTTGCCAATTGTTGAACATTGATCGGATAGCTATCAGATGGCGGTCCGGAGTAGGCTCTTTGAGCAAGGACAGCATTCACATTCTGTGTTGTATGAAAAGCATCCCAAAAGATGTACTCGGTCCTATTGCCACATGGAGGATAGTATTGTATACAAGTCATTTGTACCATAGTTTGTTGTCCCAAGTTCATTCCTACTCCACAACATGGCTTATCCCATATCGAAAACCCTACAATAAATATATAATATAGAGTTAGGAAAAATTAAAAATTACCATATACGTAGTTTTTTGTTGTTCTTACATTGGTCTCATAACCTCGCTCAATTGCAAATTTAGTCCCGTAAGTAAATGAATTTGTCCATATTAAAGACATTTCCACCAAAAAGTAAATTTCATGGCAACAAATAGACTAGCAAGTTTGTCGCTATCGTCAATTTTTCACTGAAAATAGTACATTCTGATGGAAAAGTATTTAATACGGATAAAATACATGACTAAAACGGCAAGTGTGTAAAAGTAGGGGCTAAAAATAGAAACACACATGCCTTTAGCCGTTTGGGGACTATACTTACAATTTTTTCAATAAATTTATTATATTTCATGCTTGCTTTATAAAGAGGTTTTTTTCACTATTTTAAAGAAGAAAATAGTAGGGGTAATATAGATGTTGTAGGCTAAATGAAAAAGTAAGAAAGAGGACATATTAAGAAGATAAAAGTAATGAAAAAGTAGAAAAGAAAAAGGTGTTTGTAAAAAGTAAAAAATGTAAGGATAATAAAAGTGATGGTGTAAAGGTATTTTGATAGGAAACAATTACTGAAAGGAAAATGAGAGACAAGTAACAAAAAACATCATAAAATGGAATGTGAGACAATTATTAGAGAAGAGGGGGAGTAATCACTATCAATACCATATTTCGCGCGATTATTCAACATATCGCCCAAAATAGCATAGGTGTTCCCATAGACAAACATGGCACCAGGATGTCCACCATTGTGAAGAGTGTCCACTAGACTTTTGAGACCGTCATTGAAGCTCCCAAGGATCTGGTTAACTGAGTCCACACATCTCCCTGATTGGGCCTGACCTGTCACTAGCTGGTTTGGAGTGCATCCAATTGGCCCAATGCCTGCCATATAGAACTTTCTAAGCCCAACACTATACAATGCCTGGACATGCAAACAAACATATTTTAAGATTTTAGTTTTTGTTTTAAAGATGACGGCTTACTTTTCTTACTTCAGATTCAACTCAATTTTAGCAATGACCAATGGGACAAAGATAGTATTAAGATCTGAGCTAAAGCCCGTAAAATTTTAAAGAACAAACTCTTAAGCAATAGTTCATATTCCGCACTACTATCATTCTCAACAAGTTAAATTACGAGAAAGGGGTAAATTATAAGCGCTCTTGAATCAGACTCTAGAATCGAAAGACCTCGCAAATACACCACTCGACTTATAAAAATAAAGCATTGAGCCCTTTATACCTCTGGGTGTCGGTAGGACGGTAACTTTGTCACGAAAAGTTACTTGCACCAATAGGTAAAAATGTTTGATTGCTATATTTTAATGATACGAGCTAGAGATGTATTTGTAAGGTCTTTGGACTCAGATGTCTGATTGCAAGATAGTTCGAAGCTTGACTTATTTGCCCCTCCTTTTCTCTTAAAGTAATATACGCACCACAAGTTGTCTAGCGTAGTGATTTAGCAGAAGGTTGGCGAATTGGGTGGGGTTGTAGCTGGAGCTAGTAGTATAAACGTAAGGCATCAGATAGTTGTTTATGTAGTCATTGCTTCCGATGGACAATACCACTATTGCTTTTGATAGGTAGCTACTCAAGTTGGCAGGAGGCATCATAGTCCTCAACTGGCTCAGTGTGCTCTCAAAATTCACTACTTGTTGGCTCAATGTGTACCTTTCCATCTGCATCATTCATAATGACTAAGTTACTAAAGACTAAGAGCCCGTTGATAACACGAAAATCGACTGTTTTGGCTGATTCTGCTGAAATTTATGAAGTTTATCTGAAGTGACTGCATTGGTTGATTCTGCTGATTTAAGAAAAAATTATTTTTAAAATATATTTTATTAATAAAATAAAGAAAAAATTATACGTAAAAATAGCTAAAGTGGTCATGTACAGTAACGTCAGCCAACAACACAACCAGAAAAGTAATTTCAACCTTACTTTTTCTGCTTATTACACAATTCAGCGCGAGAAAACAAAAGTTACGTGTTTGGTGAAAAAGTTGTCTGATAAATCTGATAATCCGAAAAACAGTGTTATCAAACGGTCTCTAAATTACTAAACTCGTATTTAATACGGAGTAATTGTATTTTCAAGAAAAATACATAGTAACTGAAACTTACGTATATGGAAGCTACAACAAAATTCTACCGAACCATGAATGAATACTAAATTTGAATATGATAAAATATTACCCATACATTAAAAAAAGTTATTGACTGGATGTATATTGTCTAAGAAACTTAAACTTGAACTTAAGAATTAAATATACATTCTACCAATGATAACAATAATAATAAGTTGCACTAATACGAAGATTAATAATATAGATGGAAAAGGACAATATTTACAAAAATTTGAACAATTTGGGGATCAAATTTGTAAAAATAAAAACATGGGATGATATTTGAATGTGGATATTATATGAGGTTAAAAAAGAGCAATGGTATCTAATACTCCGAAATATTTAGAAGCATGGGCGGAGCCAAGGGGGGTCAGGGTGGTCAGCAAACCCCGCTGAAAGTTTGAGAGTATAGAGCTCTGAAATATATTCGATTTCATATATTATGGCCCCCGTAACTCATTACGAGTAAAAAGTTATGACTTCTGAAAAATCGGCACTATCTAAACGTGAAATCAACAAAATTTGATGGAAAATATAGATTATTTTTCCAAATTTTAAAATAAAGTATAATTCACTCAATACTTACGTGACACGACTCAAAAACAGAGCAAAAACAATCTATCTTATTGCTACGAGTGCCTATTTATCTAAACTGCATATAAAATATTCAACTCAGACATTGTTTAAAAATAATCCACCGTTTTCATTCTAAATATAGGTTGAGTTTCAAGTATGGGATTAAGAATACTAGGAGAGTGAGGGGAGTATTGTCGATTACTAAATGTCGGGCAGTTTCGTCGAGGATGCCGGCGCCTGCAGAGGCATAGTTGACTCCACCGAGAATTTTATTCCCGTTTGTGTTAGGGTCTGCAAAGGGAGGAGGAGCAGGCAAGCCCAACCACTCTCCTGAAATTACAAATTTAACTTTCAACAATTAATTAGAATCAAAGAAAATGTAGCACACATATCAGAACATTGCACATGAATAACTTAAATTTCAACAAATCATGAAAACAATGACTTAGACCAATCGTATGTGATATGCACTAATTAGTAGTGCATAAATGTATCTTTTTATGTCTGATTTGTGTGGATTGTTTACCGTTTTATTTAGTTTGTAAACATTTGTGTGATTTTAGTTGTAATTGTATTTTAGTTCTCATTTGTAAGTTGTAAAGTAGAGTTAGGATTTATGGTGTTGGGAAGGAAGACTTTGAAGTGAAGAAAAATGATTATTGGCTGCCCCGGACAATCACCCAGTCGGGTGGGGTATTGCACCCGGTCGGGTGAGACATTGAAAAGCGAAGGTGGCTAGAAACTACAATCACCCGGTCGGGTGAGGTATTGCACCCGGTCAGGTCTGACTTGACCCGTGACATTTTAACGTGCCGAAGATCACCAGAACGTGGAGGATATCTGATTTTGACCGGACCCGGTCGGGTAGGCACTTGACCCGGTCGGGTACCCGGCCCAAGGTGTTAAAAAACACCTATAAATAGGAAACTTTTCCTTCACAAATAATCACTCCTTCTTCCATAATCTTAAACTCAATTTAGAATAGCATTTCTTTTATATTTTTATAGCATGTTTAGTCTCCAAATGAGGAGCTAAACTTCCTTTCTTGGTGTTGCTCTTGAAGCTTGTTGATTATTAAAGTTGTGAGTTATTTTCTTAACTTCTTCCCTTGAATGTTAATTATTAGTTCTTTTCTTAATACTATCTCTATATTAATGTTGGTGAGTGTTGCTAAGATGACAGTTAGCTAACATCTTGACATTAGTTATAGTAATATTTTCTTCCTCTATATTAATGTTGGGGAGTGTTGCTAAGATGACAATTAGTTAACATTTTGACATTAATTATAGTAGGATTCATCTTCTTTAATAATATTCTTCCTTGAGTATTAATTAATTCCTATTCATATTTCATATTAATATTTTAAACATTACTTAAAGGATCAACTAGTTTTGTTTCATATATTAATTATTACTAGAATCGATCGACGAGTACGCTTGTTAATCGTTGATGGTTTCACAAGTAAGTAAGTTCGGTTTATTAATGCACAGTTATGGTTAATAAACTTAAGAGGGATTAATGCACGTAAGGATTATTAATGAACGGTCGTTGTTAATAACTACCCTCGATGAATTAGATATACTCCTCGATTGAGTATTCGAGAGGGAATAAGTTATAGATATATCAATGATCGACTAAAATATGTCAACAAGTGGAAAATAGCAATGTCAAGTCCTTTTATCTTTGAATTAAACACATATAGGTTGTTCATCTTAGTTTCTTAATTACATTAAATCATTCAAACCCAAAACCCCCCTTTTAATTACTAGTTGCATAAAAAGATAATTATTCATTTCTTTGTGGATACGAACTCTACTTCACCTATACTACGTATTAGTGCTAGTATCAAATTTATTTTGACGCAACGTGACAAAGTGCACGTCAAATTTGGCGCCGTTGCCGGGGAAAGGCAATTATTTTTCTTTTTATTTTATCTCATAAAAACAAAAAACAAAATATATATATATAAAAAAATCTTACTCTTCTGATTTCTGAGCTTACATGAGTTATGAGTATAAGGATACCAACACTTCATCCTTAGAGAGTCAAATTTCCTTCTTGACTTCTATAATAAAGGAATTTATCTTAGGGATAATTTGAGTTTGCACCCCACTTTATTGTCGAAATTAGACTTTGCACCCCGTTTTTGAAATCCTTAGTATTTGCACCCTAACCCCGTATGAAAATACAAGAATGCCCCTCGATCAGAAATATGTTGAAGGCCAACAAAATTATTAACTGAGGGGCATTTTAGTCTTTTCATACGGGGTTGGGGTGCAAATACTAAAGATTTCAAAAATGGGGTGCAGAGTCTAATTTCAACTATAAAGTGGGGTGCAAACTCAAATTATCCCTTTATCTTAAGCTCAAAAGCTCAAGATGCCAAGACATGCAACATTTGCATGTCTCACAGGCATCTTACGGATTTCTGCCTAAAGCTCCGAGATGAATACCTTGAATAAATTGATGATGTTGGTCACATGAGGTATGATACGTTCTCCAACTCTAACATGTCTACGGAGGATATGGTCCGGGCTATTGCTACCAACATGACCACCATGCAAAACAACATGGTGCAATTCCAAAATGAGACCAAGTCTAGCATTTTAAACTTGGAAACTCAAATGAGTCAAATAGCCGGAGCCGTGAGTAGGCTTGAAGCAAGGGATTCGGAAAAACTTCCTTCTCAAATAGAATGTGATCCTAAACAGCAAACTTTTGCAATCACATTGACAAATGAAAAGGAAATGCAAAAGGAGATTCAGAGTCCAGAAGAAGTAGATGAAGAAAAAGACACAGAGCTCCAACTGGTCAAAGAAGAGGATAAGGTGAGCTTCAAATTCAAATTTATGTCCTTTTCATCATTTGAGGTATCTCCATCATCTCTGGAAGCTTTAAGAGAAACTCGTAAACTTGAAAAGGACAATGACATTTCTGAAATCTTCCTCAAAATTAAGGGATCGAAAAACTTTTTATTGACCATACTAAACGATAATTTCTTCCCTTTCCTCCCACCACATGAATCAATAAAAATCTGGGTATTTGATCCTGGAAAGATTTCCAAAGTGAAGAGTTGAGAAATTGAGCACTCCTATGGAAGTTCTAGGAGTGAAAGTGTGAAGAAGATAAACTATCATGATCCAAGTTTGAATGACTGAACAGAATGATAGCGTCGTGTCGCGACGTTAAATAAGACATTTCTTGGGAGGCAACCCATGCAAGGTACGTTTACTTGTTCTATATTATTTTTTCACATTTCAAAAAAAATTGGGGAGTGGACCCGAGCGGGTATCTTATTTCACCCGGACGGGCGTGTTCGTAAAAAGGCACCTGGAAATAAAACAATCGCCCGGGCAAATATTTTTTTTGGCAAAACTCGGCCCCTGGAGTAAATTACCCGACCGGGTACCTTTAATACACCCGGCCGGGCATTTTTGACAAAAACATTCTGGATAAGCGGGAGTTAGGCCCGACTGGGTACATTACCCCACCCGGTCGGGCGTCGGGAATGTTTCCACAAAAACTGAGATGACATCCTCTTCTTCCTCATTTCATCTTCTGCAAACACGAACCAACTCCGCCAAAACACCATTTTCAAACCTCATACATTTGAATCTTCTCTGTTTCTACACCAAATCCATAAAAACTCATTTTCTTCATCTCCTCATCACCCTCTTCACTACTAAACTCCATACATTGACGCACTACACCCACAAAAACCTCCCAAAAAACCAAAAATCCAAATCCCCTTACTCCACAAACAATAAAAGCTGAAATTTCCTCAACCAAAAAGAAAATAAATGACACCAAAAAGGGCAAAGGGATTCATTCTATTGGACATCTCGGACACAAGCACTAGGAAAAGTGCTTTGATTAGCTTTGGGGGGGGGGGGGGGGGGGGGAATTTCATGGAAAACTCACATTCATACTCTATATTCTTGTATTTTTTTCAAAAAAAAACTTGTTATGTTGAAAACCTCAAAAGGCAACTTAAGCAAAAATAAAGCAAAAATAAGAGTGAGTTGTGAGGATTAAAACAGAAAAATGTGGGAAGCTGAGATGAAAACCAGAAAGGGCACCTAGGCAAAATGAGAGAATGAGAGAAAGTATTTTCTTTTATTTCTGCGGGATCCTAAGGGTAACGATGACAAAAAAAGTTGAGGTTGATAAGAAATATGGAGTTGATTACCCCGGGCAAATATTTTTTTTGGCAAAACCCGGTCCCTGGAGTAAATTACCCGACCAGGTACCTTTAATACACCCGGTCGGGCATTTTTGACAAAAACATTCTGGATAAGCGGGAGTTAGGCCCAACTGGGTGCATTACCCCACCCGGTCGGGCATCGGGAATGTTTTCACTAAAACCGAGATGGCATCCTCTTCTTCCTCATTTCATCTTCTGCAAACACGAACCAACTCCGCCAAAACACCATTTTCAAACCTCATACATTTGAATCTTCTATGTTTCTACACCAAATCCATAAAAACTCATTTTCTTCATCTCCTCATCACCCTCTTCACTACTAAACTCCATACATTGACGCACTACACCCACAAAAACCTCCCAAAAAAACCAAAAATCCAAATCCCCTTACTCCACAAACAATAAAAGCTGAAATTTCCTCAACCAAAAAGAAAATAAATGACACCAAAAAGGGCAAAGGGATTCATTCTATTGGACATCTCAGACACAAGCACTAGGAAAAGTGCTTTGATTAGCTTGGGGGGGGGGGGGGGGGGGGGGGGATTTCATGGAAAACTCACATTCATACTCTATATTCTTGTATTTTTTTCAAAAAAAAACTTGTTATGTTGAAAACCTCAAAAGGCAACTTAAGCAAAAATAAAGCAAAAATAAGAGTGAGTTGTGAGGATTAAAACAGAAAAATGTGGGAAGCTGAGATGAAAACCAGAAAGGGCACCTAGGCAAAATGAGAGAATGAGAGGAAGTATTTTCCTTTATTTCTGCGGGATCCTAAGGGTAACGATGAAAAAAAAAGTTGAGGTTGATAAGAAATATGGAGTTGAAGACCCCTCTTTAATGTTATATTTTTGGGGATATTTTTGTGTTGTTCTAAAAACACATGTGGATGTTGGTGTTGATACTTTCGCATTTTAAGGACTTCTTGGGCTGGATTTGATTTACTTGAGACGAGTAAAGGTTCAAGTGTGGGGGTGTTTGATATGCACTAATTAGTAGTGCATAAATGTATCTTTTTATGTTTGATTTGTGTGGATTGTTTACCATTTTATTTAGTTTGTAAACATTTGTGTGATTTTAGTTGTAATTGTATTTTAGTTCTCATTTATAAGTTGTAAAGTAGAGTTAGGATTTATGGTGTTGGAAAGGAAGACCTTGAAGTGAAGAAAAATGATTATTGGCTGCCCTGGACAATCACCCGGTCGGGTGGGGTATTGCACCCGGTCGGGTGAGACATTGAAAAGCGAAGGTGGATGGAAACTACAATCACTCGGTCGGGTGAGGTATTGCACCCGGTCGGGTCTGACTTGACTCGGGACATTTTAACGTGCCGAAGATCACCAAAACGTGGAGGATATCTGATTTTGACCGGACCCGGTCGGGTAGGCACTTGACCCGGTCGGGTACCAGACCCAAGGTGTTGAAAAACACCTATAAATAGCACACTTTTCCTTCACAAATAATCACTCCTTCTTCCATACTCTTAAGCTCGATTTAGAATATCATTTCTTTTATATTGTTATAGCATGTTTAGTCTCCAAATGAGGAGCTAAACTTCCTTTATTGGTGTTGCTCTTGAAGCTTGTTGATTATTAAAGTTGTGAGTTATTTTCTTAACTTCTTCCCTTGAATGTTAATTACTAATTCTTTCCTTAATACTATCTCTATATTAATGTTGGGGAGTGTTTCTAAGATGACAATTAGCTAACATCTTGACATCAGTTATAGTAGTATTTTCTTCCTCTATATTAATGTTGGGGAGTGTTGCTAAGATGACAATTAGTTAACATCTTGACATTAATTATAGTAGGATTCATCTTCTTTAATAATATTCTTCCTTGAATATTAATTAATTCCTATTCATATTTCATATTAATATTTTAAACATTACTTAAAGGATCAACTAGTTTTGTTTCACATATTAATTAATTATTACTAGAATCGATCAACGAGTACGCTTGTTAATCGTTGATGGTTTCACAAGTAAGTAAGTTCGGTTTATTAATGCACGGTTGTGCAGTGGTTAATAAACTTAAGAGGGATTAATTTTGTTGGTTAAACCGAAACTGTTGTGTTGAGGTTATCAATCTCAATTGATTTCATCAAGGAGTTAATAGTTTAAATGCTATTATCAAGTCGGTATATGGCGGTGTTCTATACTTGACTGATATTAAGGGTTATTAATGAACGATCGTTGTTAATAACTACCCTCGATGAATTGGATATACTCCTCGATTGGGTATTCGAGAGGGAATAAGTTATAGATATAACAATGGTGGACTAAAATATGTCAACAAGTGGAAAGTAGCAATGCCAAGTCCTTTTTATCTTTGAATTAAACACATATAGGTTGTTCATCTTAGTTTCTTAATTAAATTAAATCATTCAAACCCAAAACCCCCCTTTTAATTACTAGTTGTATAAAAAGAGAATTATTCATTTCCCTGTGGATACGAACTCTACTTTACCTATAGTACATATTAGTGCTAGTATCGAATTTATTTTGACGCACCGTGACAAAGTGCACGTCAAATTTGGCGCCGTTACCGGGGAAAGACAATTATTTTTCTTTTTATGTTATCTCATAAAAATCAAAAACAAAAGAATATATAAAAAAAATCTTACTCTTCTAGTAGGGACCATTCCCTAACAAGTCCCTGACAAAATTTGTCACGAATTTTTATCCCTAACAAGATTTTTGTCAGGGTGCTCGCACCAGGGATAAGATCCCTAACAAAAATGTTTGTTAGGGATTTTTTGTCATCCTAGACAAATTTCGTGACAAAATATTTGTTTTTTGTAGTTAGATGCCAAACCTTTAAAACATACACTATTTGTGATATGTTTCAAAATGTTTTTAAATGCATTAAATTTTGCTGGTATGATTTAGTCTAGTATTCTGATTTGGTTGTTTAAATCTGGTATGATTGGGTAGATGTATGTTTTGTGTGTATTTTACACCTCTCAAACTCTGATCTGATCCGATTTGATCTATATGGTCTTGTTTAGGACTCAGAATGTGTCCAATTAAAAATATCATTAGTGATAGTAGGACAAACTATCTCAAATAGGGGCAGAGGTAGAGGTGCCATGACCGAGACGGCGAGACCCAACCGACCCCGAGTTGAAAAATGCTTGTATTTTATACGGAGTATGTATAAATTTAAGGTAGATTCTATGGTACTCATAAGGTACCGTACCTTTGTCCACATGAACCAATGAGAATGTAGTAATTGAATTATTTAAATCTAAATTAAAAATGATAAGTGATGTGGTCCAATCAAATGAATGATAGGTACGGTACCCTATTTTTTAGAAGGGTACCGGAGTTGTCACCTAAATTTAATGCGTAAAAAATCTTCTAAAACTTCTTTTTGTGTCGTTCCACCTTTACTTTTGTTCTTGCCTACGCCCTGATCAATCACATTTTTTGTGCACAACATTTTTTTCAGTAGTATATTTGTGATTATTTTTAATCTAAGTTAATTACTTTTGAAGTCTCAAATGTTGAAAAATGAATTAAAATTTTAAATAAAGTACCAAGAAGATCGGCAAAGGTTTTCCCGTTGGTTGATCTACCGGTAGACCCTCCGGGGTAGTCCACACCATAGGGATAGTAATTCGCCTTCGCTCTTGAGTTGAGGAAGTTGCTATTCCCATCATCCACCGTTGAATCTCCAAACACAAATATCGCAGACGGCCGTGGCGGCACCCCTTCTGCGCCGCCGTTGGACTCATCAAAGTGCGCCACCACCATAAGCGCCACCACCATTAACCGAAACCTTTGATGATACAAAAAACACATCATTTTACTTGATTATTTTAGTACGCAATAGATCTTTCTTAACTAATTTCCTTTATGATGGAAACACTAATTTGGTTTGCTATATATATGCATATGAATTAATCAAGGCCATAAATGGTGGCTTTACTTTTAGCTTTTTCACTCAAATGGCGCGATTCATTAATTAAATACTCCCTCCGTCCCCCAAAGAAGTTCTTATTTTGACCTACACATATTTATGTAAGGTAGAGTTTTGTTTTGACTTTCCAAATATACCCTTACTTTATATCAAATCAAACAAAAAGTGAGAAAAAAGTAAGGGTAGTTGTGACTTTTTGGTTAAAAGTGGTTTCCTTTTATAGAAATGAGAACTTCTTTTTGGGACATCCATAAAAGGAAAGTGGGGACTTCTTTGCGGAAAGGAGGTAGTACTTAATTAAAAGTGTAACTAACGTTAACTCCCTTAGAGCATCTTCAATGCTACAATGTGCACGGTGCATATGTGGCATGAGAGAGATAGACACAAAATATTGATTTTATAACAGTTCTCTCTCATTCTTTCCACGGTCTTATGTGTTTTTGGTAAGTTTTTGTCTGCAATGTCAACCACAATGTCTACATCTAGACATTGTGCTTGACATTGTGAAGAAAAACTTACCAAAATGATGTAAGATCCTTCAAATAAGCAGAGATATATTCTATTTCTTGTTTTTTAATTGATTATTTCTCATGCCACGTATGCACCATTAACGTTTTAGCATTGGAGATGCTTTAAGGTCGTTCTTGCCGGTTTTTCTTATGTGGTTTTTCTTATGTGGAAGCTAAAGTCATATGCTCAAATATGATGAGACATGTGAAGAAGTGACCTTTAGTAACGTAAATCGTGCATGGTTCATGCATATTAAAACGTGAATTACTACAAGCTACCAGCTAATGCCTTTTATTTGTTGGCAGCTTCTTTGAGATTTTGCAGTGCATATCGGCGTGTTGGCTTCAAAAATAAAAACAATTCCGTGACGACATAAACAACAAGAAAGAATTATTAAGAGAGGAGACCTTATAATAAAAAGAAATAAGTGGTAATAAAAAGAATTATCAGTAAAATAAAGATAATTTACAAAAATGTGACTAAAAACTAGAGTGGTAATGAAAACATAGTCATTTATGTTCAATTTTTAAACTTAAGTTACCATGAAACTATGAAGTTGTTCTCTTCGCCCGATTTGAATGTTTCTGACCTGAATTTTTTAAGATCTGGTTTAATCCGTTTTGAATTTTGCTGATCTGATTTGATATGATCTGAATCTTTCTTATCTGGTCTGATCTGATTTGAATCTTTCGGATCTGATTTGAATTCTTTTGATCTGAATCTTTCTGATATGATCTGATTTGATTTTTTTTCTGATTGAATGTTTATTATTATTATTGTTATTATTATTATTATTATTATTATTATTATTATTATTATTATTAGTACAACTACTATTATTGTTGTTGTTGTTATTACTATTAGGGAAAAGGGTCAGATAGGCCCCCGAACTTACATAAAAAGGTCAAATAAGCCCTTATATAGGAGGCCCTGTCCGGCCATCGTCATTTGGGCGGTTCCCGGTGGAATTTTTTAATGAAATTTTTTGAGCATCTTATTCATTAAGTGTAGTTTACTCATACCAAATTCCAGCTATAACTTCAATCGGTAAGGCATTCAAATGAATTCTTGAAGATAAGTGTGCAGTTAAAAGCGTAGTTATCTTCAAGAATTCATTTGAATGTCTTTCCGATGGAATTGTTAGCTGAAATTTAGTATGAGTAAACTATACTTAATGAATAAGATGCTCAAAAAATTTCATCAAAAAAATCCACCGGGAATTGCCCCAAATGGCGACGACCGGACAGAGCCTCCTATATAAGAGCTTATTTGACCTTTTTATGTAAGTTTGAGGGTCTATTTCACCCTTTTCCCTTACTATTATTACTATCACTACTACTACTATTATTATTAGTAGTAGTAGTACTATTATTACTACTTTCTCTTGCTCTTAACGGTGACTAAGAGCAGACTCTAGCACAATGTAGAGTGACTATGAGCAATGCGCTGCACATGCAAATGCCGGTGCCACCCCGATTGAGGTGACCATCGGTCGTCAGATTTTCGACATGTGTCCCTAGCATTTATTACTGCTATAAATAGCAGCCCATTCTCCATTGTAAGGCATCACAAGTTTCTATATTCGAATACAGTTTCTCTCTCTTACTTATTACTCTAACTTCTCTCTAAGTTATTCCCGTAATAACACATCGGATAAGCTACCCCCCCCCCCCCCCCCCCCCCCCGAGTACGTTATCCATCATTTGGTGCTCTCATTGAGAGGGTCGAACAATCAAGTAAGAAACCCTCCCCTTCACCGAACTCAAAAACATCTACCACAATGGGAAGAACCATGCATGCCCAGTCCAAGAACATCGAAGACAACAAACTAGCCCTCGGCGAAGCCGACGCCCCCGGAGCCTCCAACAAGGCTCCCGAGGGCGGAGTCATCGCTGGGTTGGAACAGGCTTCTGTTGACTTGCGCCTTCAGCTCCAGCAGAATGCTCCCGATGCCCATCTCGGCATTGAGGCTCAAAAGAAGGATCGGAGCGAAAACCAAGTGAGCCCTCCGGTCCTCACTATTGACGTACAGTCAGCATTTTCTGCCTTCATCCAGACACTCACCCAGAATCCAGGTGCCTTCGGCACTCTGGTGCCACTTCAGCCACAGGTCGGTGAGAACGTCGTTCCTCCCCCACCTCCAACCCCCTTCATAAACCCTATCCTTCGGTTAGGGAACAATGAAGGGGTCGTGGCCCAGGACACCGCTTCCCAGGAAGTCCAGTCTCGGGACCAGCGCGGTGCGAACAAAGATAGGCCTCGGACCTCTGTCCTCGAGAGGTTAGGAGGAGCGCAAGATCGCTGAGGGGTCCAAGACCGCCTCGGGGGTAAGGCGTTCCAAAGACCTCAGGAAGCGGGGGATATGTATCGAGGGCAGACGAGAGGCGTCCCCCTCAGGACAAAGGCAAGGGATCACTCCATGCCGATGACGCGAGGCACCAAATCAACCAGGCTTACTCAGTCCGTGTACAATCGCATGGGGCGGAGGCCCTCCCGAAGGATCACAAGGACGAGATTATTGAGGCCCTCCAACGCCGCCTTAATGAAATGGAGGCCCGCTAAGCGCACACGACCGTTTTCGCCTCGCAGGCGAACCCCAAATACGCCACCATGCTGGCCAAAATGGAGGAGATGCAAAGAAAATTTCCCGAGGGCTCCGGGGAACCCATCATCCAACTTCGGACAAGGACGCCATTTACCCCAAGGGTATTGGCAGCACAGATTCCAGGAAAATACCGAGGGCAACTCATCAAGCCCTATGAAGGAAAGACTGACTCCCAAGAGCACTACAGCAGGTACCAGAACAACATGATGATGATGGGGGCATCGGATGAGTATTTGTGTCGTTGGTTTCTTTCCACTTTGGAGGGACCGGCGTACGAATGGTTCAAATGGTTGCCCGAGGGTAGCATTGACTCTTGGCAAGAACTAGCCCTGCGTTTCTTGACACGGTTTGCGGGAAGGCATCGGTCAAGGAAACACTTCTCCCACCCACTAACGGTGAGGCAACGGAAGGAGGAAACCCTCCGGGACTTCTTGGAACGCTGGAGACGGATAAGGTTGACGGCGCTGACGAAGGAACCCTTTTGGCTCTCCTACAGATGGTCCTCCGCACCGAGAACTTTTCAAGGAGCCTTATCATCGAGCCTCCCCGCGATTACATAAGGGCCCTACAGCGGGAGGACCGGTACGCAGAGGCCGAGGAAGTAGAAAAATGTCACCAAAACCCCGAGCAGTAGCGCCCCAGGCCAGATGGCAGGAACAACAGGGGGCCGGGGGCTCTGTTCCACCGGTCCAAAGGTCCGGCCCCCTCGGGTGATCACCCCCGGCATGGCCAATCCAAGTCCAGGGGAGGTTACAAGAACAACCCAAAGGCCTGGGCACAGCTTGTTCTCTTGGAGCACCCTCGGACACCCCTGACGCATCCCATCAGCGTCATTCTCGACTTCGCCGATGAGAGGGGCCTCGTAGAGCGAGACTCTCGCACACCCCCGGAGGTATATGCCATCAACCCCAATAAACCTTACTGTCGTTTCCATCGCCACCAGGGGCATAGAACCCACAACTGCCATCAGCTGAAGGCGGCCATCGAAAGGTTGATACAGGTGGGCCATTTGTCCCAATTTGTCAGGGGCCCTCAGCATCAAGGGCCCCCTCGAGGGCCACCGGTGAAGGCAAACGCCTCGATCAATCCAAACACCATTCCCCTCGGTGATCCGAATGGAAAGAAGAGGGAGATCGGGAACCTTGATGAAGAAGAAGGGTACGACCAGTGCCAGGAAAAGAAGCGCCACATCCACATGATCATTGTTGGCAGCACGGGGGAGACTTCACTAGCCAAAGGAAGAAATGGGCACAATCCCTTTACGTGGGGGAAATCACCCATATGCCCCCTGATGGAGTATATGGGTCTAGGCCCCAGGACCCACATACTCAGAACAGAAAGCGCAGTCACTACACGGTGCCCTCGTCGGCCAGAAGACCCTCGTCGGCCGAAGAGGAACCAATCCAGAATATGATCTTGAGGCCAAGGAACCAGGGTGTCCTCGTCGGCCGTGCCCTCGTCGGCCGTGCCCTCGTCGGCCAAAGCCCTCGTCGGCCACGGGAGACCCACAGAACCGGATTTTACACTTACTCATTTGTACAGCCCACTAGTGGCTTTGTATTCGGCCCAATAGCGGTCCAGTTGTAAATGGGCCTCCCAAGCCCAAGGCTTGGGAGCCCAGCCCGTATTTTTCTTATAAATACTTCCTCTGGAAGTAGTTATGGGGGTTACAAAATCATTCTATTGAAGCATATATTGCACTTCTCTCTCTAGCTCTCACTTCTCTCTAGATATATACTCTATCACCCCCCGTAAAGCGGTTGAGAGAGGAGCCCATCGTATTTACCAACGCCGATCTCCCCCGGCTTCCTCTC